CTGGCCTTTTAGAACAAAACCTCCTGCTCAGAGTATTTCAACATGTCCTGGCCCTGCTCATAAAGTTCGCTGGCTACAAACATCCACTCGACTCCTCCCTTGCTCTCACCACTGGCCTCACTTGTGACTTCAGGGCCTCATGTTCCAATGGGCAGGTAGATAAAGCTGTGCTGCTGCATTTTATGATGTTATAGGCTTAGGTGAGTCATATATACAGTTTTCAACTCATGTAGACTTAATCAATAAAACAGTCAAATTAGCAACAGAGCAAAATATCACATGCAGATTTCAGAGAAGTCTGTCTGAAAATGAAGTGAAATTATTGCTTTTTACAGGAATGTGGATAGTTGAGTATACTCGTATTGGCAGAAGTATATCATATATTCATGCATTTCTGCAGAATTAAGAAATAATGTTTGATAATGTCTTTAATTGTATGTATTGTTCTGTCCTTTCAATGTAAAACAATACAACTTATTAATCCTAAATGCAATTTGGTTTAGGGCAATTAAAAGAAACAAAAAACTAAATACAGACATGTACAGACAGACTTCCACTAAAATAATAACAGTTATAGTAACACTATAAAAAAGCTGTTTTGTTGCCTTGAGCTAAAAGTGCCATTTCTTTAAAAATCCTAAAATGTATGGTGAATGAATTGATTAAATTATCACTTCAGCAGCAAGTGCACATTTTACAGAGGGTTTTCTATTCACAATAGCGTGTGGGTGTGTTAGGTGTGTGGGTGTGATTAAAAACCTGAAAAACAAGAATTTAGTCAATGTCTCACAATATCCCGACAATCAAGATTACTTAACCGTCCTACCACAGTCTACATTACAGGATAAGTGAGTAACAGTGGATAAAGCGGATAACAAGTTGCTGACATTAATAACATGTGAAGTATGTGAGTATTTTGCAAAAAACACGGCAAAAGTGTCACAAATTATTCTCAAGCCACAAGGATGACATCTTCAGAAACTACTTCTGGCCTGACACATAGTTGGTCCTTCACTGTGAGTAACTCAGCACATGTTCAATCTTGTAAACCCTCAACGGGCGGGAGGGCGGGGAAAGGCTTTATTAATCATAATGAACCAGCAATTTGTTGTTTAAACTGACAGCGGCCCCACCAGCTCTAATCCAATGCCCTCCTCCTGGGTAGAGCCACACACAGCCACAAGAATACACAAACACATAAACTTATGAAAACAACTTAACTCTTCTCAGCCACTGACACTTCTGACCTCCACAGTTTGCTGTAATTCCACCTGATGTTTGTTTCAGAGATGACATTGTCAGTATTTAATAGTCACAATGCAAACACATCATGTTTTAAATGTAATGTCACCTTACTTGCTTAAAGACACAAAACAATAACGTATTTCTCTGTGTTCTCAGTTTGACTCAAATTCAAGTCTCAACTTTTGGTGGAAAACAAAGTTCAGAGCGAGTTCTTCTCTTCGACACTGTTGACTTTTAGCTCACACTGCACAACAGATGCACAATTTTACATTTGTTTACAATCCTGGAGTACATCAGAAATATCAACAAAACTATCTCTCTCATAGATTTATGATGTATGTATAAACATGTCTCTCACTGGCAGATACCAGTTAATAATATTCTATAGGGATCCTGACAAAGACCTCTGCAGCAGTTCTGATTACAATCTGATCAAAATAACTTTATCTATCTTCTAGTTTCTATCTTGTAAGTCTACAGCATTTTCTACATGTAGTGCATCTTTGAATAAATTCTGCATAGAAGGTGTAATATTGATGTTAAAGTGAAATGTGACCAGCCATAAAAGATAAAAATGACCCTATGTGTATAGTTAAAGGACACGCACATGCAAACATATTTAAATAATAGAGTAGAAGACTGTTAGGTATTTACCTCTGCCAAGGTGTTTCAGGTCCCCTCATGAAATCGATATTGAAATCTGATAGAGCTGGATTTTCATTTGGATCTGGATCGTCGAATTTCACAAACTCAGTCCCCTGACAATTTTCCCCAACCAACATCTGTGAATTTCTCTGTGAAATCCACATGGGCTATTGTAATGTCATAGAAGGTGATGAAAATTCCTAGATCCACCCAATAGTCCTTATCTTTGCTAAAATGTAATGGGTTCTTTTTCAGCCCATGATCTTGGTGATCAGGCAAAACAGTCGAAAGACACTTACCAGGGGCCAGTCTACTGGATGTTCTGTCACTCAATAGCTAACCTTGCGTTAACTCTTCATCAAATGTTTACACATCCATGGTTGTTAATATTAGTAGCATAGCCTCGTCTACAACATACGACAGTCGTATACCAAAATATTCAGGTGGTATCTGTGCACTCAAAATGCATATTGCTTCTGTTGAGCTTGGTAAATGGATAATTAATTCTGCCTCACAGCCAGTGAGCGTTCCTGCAGGCCTTCAAAAAGATCACATCAGTTCGGTCTTGGGTCAGCGTCAGGGAACGGAGGTCAGTGCTAGTCTGCCCTCCAGGCAGACGGAAAGACAGCACAGACAAAGCTGCCTTTAGGAGAGTGCATCAATTGGGCATTCACAGGGGAATGAGTCAGTTCAGTAGAAAATAGTCAGAGAGCCATGACTCAGACGCCATATGTGTGTAGGTTACGGCTGAATGTTTGTTGAGGTTAAAAGTTTGAGACCACCAGTCAAGAGCACGGCCTGTTGATTATAGACTGTGGTTATTCATTTGTTAGACACACAAGAGACTGGGATAATTTTCCTGCTGCACTTATTTTTTCTTGTGTAGTTTTCTGTTTTTTGTTTACAGTTTAATCCACATGGACGCAGGGCTAATAGCGAGTTAATTGTTTTGAACCGTGTACATTGCCTTTGGCAGAAAATTTATCATAACATCGGAGGTCAGCTCCAGATCTGTCGAGAAATTTGCAGCCTTAATTGTATGTCTATCAGGTAATCATCTCTGGGATGTCCTGCTGTGTCAGTTGTCACATCCCCTACGCAATATCAAACAAACTCCACAATGAAATGTTCCAGGCCTAACACGCCTGCCAGACTCACCCTGACACTTCCCTTTCATTACCATCCCATCTGATGAGCTCATTTCCACGCCAACACTGTTATCCCAAGCCAAGCCTGGAGACAGACACGCATACTCTCCCTAAAACACAGGCCCCCACTTTCAACCACTGCTTAGGGAGCTGTTTGATGCTTCAATTAATCATTTCTGTCAGAGGCGGGAAGTTGGAAGTCCAAAAGCTATCGATTGTTTTCATCTCGACAAAAGAAGAGTCAGAGCTACCGGCAATTAAGAGTTCAATTGTTGTCAACACAGACAACGGTTTGTGTGTCTGTGTCCGGAGGAAGAGGAAGGATATCCACTTTGGAAATACAGTGAAAATGAAGGAGGAAGAGGAAATAAACAAGAAGGAGAGATGTCAAGTAATGTGCTGCAGCAGAGGGGGAAGTGAGAAAGTTTTGCATTTTTATTGGCCTGATCTGTAAAGCTCTGTTTCAGCACGCAGAAGGAGCACAGACCTCATCAATACATTGCTTATATACCCCAGATTCCCAAGTTCAGCACTTTTATGATTGCCTCCCCTCACATCCATATGAATACATACAAGTGTGTTCATGCACAACTACACACACCAATCCAACACATCCATACAAACACAATCACTGACACCATTCATAATCACTTTATCGGCCCTGCACTGGCTGTGGACGCATCAATTGATTTGATGCCTGTAAATGTCATTACTCTTCAGTACTGTTAATTTCCCCATCCAATCACAGCATACCTCCCATATTGATTTAGATGAAAATCTATTGGCTGTGCGAAAATAAATATGTATAGATTTAGGTTTAACAATGACTCTTCATACTCATCTATGGTGTTAAGAGTGGTTAGTATTGATCCTTCAACCTATCTTGGATACAAACTATAGCACGTGTATGACCTGCACTGTTATGGCAACTACTACAATTATGAAGTAATGTTTTTGTCAGATATGTTAAAGTCTGTGTTTTGGGTTAAAATAATATGGCTACTTAACTAAGGTTAAACAATCTTTGTTGTTGTGATAACAATAACGAGTTATGTTTTCTACCCTTGTAGTCTTAACACTTTATATACTATGTCACTCAACTTCCTCCTTTGGTTCTGTCATAATTGCAATGGTTACTAGAGGTCGCTTAACGTTAAAATGGAACTATTAGCTGTGTACTAAGCTGCTGGTACAGAACTATGGGGTCATTGTTGTGTGTGTGTTTGTCTGTATTAGGTAGATGATTGATTATTTATATTGATTATTTGCATGATAACTGACTTTGAACAGCAAAAGTGTCTCTCTTACGTTAAAGGCTTTGGAGGTACAGGTACTTGGAATTTTCTTCTGAAGATGTAGCATCTGAGCTAACACTAATCACTACAACAACAACTATGAGATGACATTGTAATCATACTGGTTGCTATAATTAGTGAATATGTCCGTTAGATACTAGTCAATAAGTGATCAGTGTGTAATGACTCAGTTACAGTTGCCCACTAGTTACTAGCTTTTTATTAGCAACAGTTAATAAATGGCCCTTAACAAAGATAATATGAAGCGATGATGTATATAGCAGCACGTTTCTGAATAATTGTAATATATCATTAAATGCCTGGTTATCACAGTAAATATTCATTTCAGACATTTTGACATTAAAACTAATTACTCCTGGAAGCTGTAGTATGCTGATTCATAATTAGCTCATATTTCTTTCAGCCAAAACATTGTATATGTTAATTTTACACAGTTACTACCGAGCCCTTCTAAATCAGGCATGCTGTGAGAACTGTTAACCTCCCTGACATCAGCTCTGACAAAATCAACAGCTCTAATCCCTGCCAGGCCCAAGGAGCATGCCAGGGATTAAAGGGTCCAGCTCGCCATGTGTCTCTGTTTCATGTTTTATTCTGCAGTTTTTTGTGCTGTGTCTGATTCTCTGTTTTCTATTTCATCTCACAGCTATTCTGGCAGAGTTGTAGGAAACGGTCTGCACGCTCAGAGGCAAAACCCGGAGGTCAAAGTTCGCAGTGTAGACCCTTCACTGGCAGAGGTCAAGGAGAGGTTGGAACGCTTCAACCAGGTAGGATGACCTTTGCTCAACATGATTATTAGTAATAAAGACTGACAAGATACACATATGTATGTTTGAACAGAACATACATATACACAGTGTGTCCAGAATAACATAATACAATATACAAACACATCAAACTAAATTATATAAATAAATAGATAAATTAAAACATAAATAAAATGCAATTAAAAGCCAAATGGAAAATATATTTTAGGTCTTGAGCATCACTCGCTGCCCTCGGGTCCTCAGGCTGACCATAGTCGACCTATTGATGGTGTTTTTTTTTATTTTCAGCCACTACCAGAAGACCTGAGGGTTCTAGCAGCTTCATGGGATAAAAGACAGTCTAATGAATAGGTTAGACCAAGATCATTAAGAGCTTCATAAACCAATAGAGGGATCTTAAAATCGATTCTGAAGCAGTTGGGTGACCACTGCAGAGACTTTAGAATTCATATAATGTGCTCTCTATCTGGTGGTGGTCAATACAGCTGAGTTTTGAAACTTTAGATGCAATATTTTCTTCTTAGGCAGAGGAGCCCGACCAATTTATTGGTTTGCAGATTCATTTGAGCTGATATGCACCTTTCATGGACATATCAGTATCTGTGTTTATCATCTGCAAATATGAAAAAATAAATTAAAGGAAAAACAATGCAATAAAGATGTACATGTATCTGAAGTCTGTGCACCAGTATTGATAGAAAATCTGCATCTGCATCAGAAATTAAGTGACAATTTGTCAATTTCTAGGTGAACAAAATATGAGCATATATACATATATATACATATATATATATATATATTATATATAGTTTTAATAGATTTTCTCTGACTGAGCTGCAGAATATTTCTCTGCCATCCACAACAAAAAAGTCTGGGCCTATCAAAGGACATTGATTGACCCTGAGTTCTCAGAAGACAGCAATTGAAAGATGTTAAATGTTTTTAGTTACATAAGAACAATTTATTCCAGTAATAAAATTAAATTCCACTGAAACAGATTAAATGTTATTTGATGATCAAATGATATTTTATGTAACAACAAGCCTCAGTTGATGGGGCTTTTGTCTAATTAGTACGACTCAAACAATATAAGCCATAGTCAGAAGAATGGCTGAAAAGTCCTTGCCGTTCAATCCAAAGACTTGTTTTGAATGCAGAGGCAGATATCAAAGATGAATGAAAAGGACAGAAGGTGAAAGGGAGACAGTGACAAAAAAAGTGAATTACTTTGGGAAAAAAAAGAAAAAAGATGAGAGAAGGGAGCAAAAGGTCATGAATGAGTGACGGATAGGCTGAGATGACACAGGCAGCTTCAAAGTGACGCTGTTTGTCATGTAGATGGGGTTTAGGGCTGAAAAGGACCAAGAATAAAAGGGCCATTTCACACAGTCCCTACAGGCCATTTGAGGAGACAAACGGGGCAGGATTCGGTTCCCCTCTGCCTGCCTACCCTTTTGTTGCCCTGAAAAATATGCCCATGGATCGTACACCGGCTATCTCTCACTTTCTATCACTAAATCCTCCTCTCTTTCTCCAGATTTTACCCTTTTCTGTACCCGTTTGATTTCTTATCCTTCCCTCCAAAAGACTTTATCCCGTCTGCACCTAGTTCTTGTTGGTCTTTGTCTTTCTGTTGACCCATTCTATATCATGACTTTTTCCTAATCTGCAAACATCCTCTCACCTTCACCTCCTTCTTTTTTCTCTCCATACATTTCCTTGCCCGCTCTATTCAGGTGTAACTTGTTTCGTACATGCACCCCTGTCCACCTGTCTGCCACTGACAGCTCGAGATCATTTCTATCTGAGCACAACATCCGATTGTGCACGGTGGCTGTCAAGTACCCCGTTGTCATGGTAACTGTGCAGAGTTGAGCCAGCCTATTGACATTTACAGGGTTGAGACGCCCACCTGCAATCTAAACCAGGTGGCCGAGGGCGGCTGAGCTTTGTGGCTGTGCCAGATAAGAGCAGAGAATAATCGAGTGTTAAACGGCCTAATTTGGGCTTTTTGAGTTGCATCCAGAATAGCTAAACATCCAAGAGTACAGAAACACATTTTATCACGTGTGACCCACACTTGCTGTCACACACACTTTGGCATTGATGTCGTACACATTCATCAAACTGTTAAACATCAGCTGGAGGTGTGCGTCGATTCTAGCTCTTTACCAAATTCAAACATTTAAACTTTTGACGCTCACCTGTGACATCGACTAACCCTGGGTACTATTCATACTAATTCATAGCAAAGAGGATTAGTTCAGAATAAGATCTCTTGGCAACAGCCATACCAGACTAAAACCATTTCACTCTCAAAAGGCCTGGGACAGGCTTAAAGGCAGACATTAATTTTCTTATTGCAGCCCATAGCACATGCAAAGTCTTTCCACCCCAAGACTGAAATTCTTACACTTCAAGTGTGAGAGGAAGTTTGTAGGAGCTATTTTACACTTCAACAACAAAATCAGTGAGTGTATCTCATGCCTAATGTTGTTTGTAGGTAAATGGAACTTGAGCTTCTCAATTATTTACCAGGTCGTTTTTAACAAACATTATGTTTGAATTAAAGATGTAACTTTCTGTCTTATTTGTCCTTGTTTGGAGTCAGAAATGTAATAATATAATTGTTCTTTGAACCATTGAATGAAATCACATCCTCATTTAAAAAAGAAGTCTTAACACAAGCCACACGCTAAATAAGTGGCTACATAATCAAGTCACATGTCTTGTTTTCTCGTTTTTGATCAAACAAGGTCAGAACTTGTCCGCAGCTACAAAACAGGCTCCAAATTATGTTTGGAGACAGGGCTATTATGTAAAAATCTTCCATGTGGACATGTCGTTTCACAAAATAAGTTTATTTGCAGATTAATTTTGGCAAGTCCATCCGGATCACTTTCCATTCCATGAATTTCACTGGATCCCCTCGCTGCCTCTCGGGCTGTAAAGTTAATTGCAGTTCAATCACGAGGGAGTAGTTTACAGATATGAAGCATTGTTGATCAATTTTGATTTGTTCTAGCGGACGGCGTATTTAGGCCTTGACAAAGCCCTGTGATTATGGACTTGACCTTGACTGTAACAAAGAGCATAACGGGAAACAATGTTATTAATTTTGTGCTGACAAATGATGAAGCAGATACAATATAATCAGACTCATGTCTGCACAATTGTTCACAATGGCTCTCTGTGTCTGTGTGTTCCAGTAGTTGCTAAAAAAGAACTTTCAGACATTCAAAGTGAGGACAGTCACTAATATTAGTCTTCAAGGAAATCTCAAAAATCTCAATGTAAGAAGTACAATTCCACATGTGTGTGTGTTTTCTTGAAGAAGAGCTAGCCTGGCTCATTATTGTCATAATAGTAATAATAAAAATAATAAAAATACACACAGTGGACTGGTATTACTGTATTTCTCTTTTTTGACTGAAAAAGTATTGCCGGTATTTCAACAAATCCCTAATCTGAGTTTTCCCAGATTTGAATAACCTCCATTTCAGGGATTAGTGAGATTGAGACGTGTATATTTTTACCTAGTGGAGAGTAGTTAGACCCAGAGGACTGTGGCACTAAGAGGATTGGGAAACTGCTGCTGATGAATCACAGACTCTGACCCCTCATCTACCCGTGGCATTCTCCTCTTAAAGCACTCAGAGCCACATAGAAAATGAACACAGACACACACGGCTGCGCCCACACACACACACACACACACACACACACACACATACACACAAACACACACGTACAGCCTGTGACAGACAGGTTTGTGAGGTGAAAGGGAAAAGAGGGATCATGCACACATTTGTGGCAAAACATGTCCAGTTGAACCAAGTTCATAAAAGCTGGAAGCAACACACAAACACACTCAACTCAAAAAACTAATCTCCTGACCTCCAATAAAATGGTCCATTAAGTGAATAGGCCTGCGTATCTCCTCTGACTATATCCTCTTTCTCGCTCGCTTGCTCTCCGCCTGTAAATATTGCGGATGTGGACAATAAATGTTTCAAAGTGGATTTTTGATTCCTGGCCATCGGTCCAGCTGTTTTTGGGTGGGGATCCTGTCACAATGCTCTGACTGTTTTCGTGTGACTACTCGAACTGTGCAGATCATTTGTCAGTTTGTCAATTTACTTATAGTAAATGCAGAAATCAGTGGGAGAATTTAAGGAGAGAACATGCACACGCTTTATTTCTCGCTATTTCTCGTTATTTTTCTCTCGGACGTACAAACAAGGATGGCATCATTACAAATGGTGAAAGCTGCGTGGAGCTGTAAAGAGTCCAGAATGAAAAAGTCCAGCACACAGCAGCCAGTTGTGTGTGTGATTGATGAGATCCTGCTTTGCTTTCTGGTTTGGCCTGTTGCCCAGACAGGTTCCACATCAGAGAAATCTGACTTATGTTTAACACACACTCAACACATCCCCTGTGGATCCCGTGGATCTTTGAATCTATCAGCTACTGCCAGGACTAAGAGTTACTGTCGGCTCTAGTTTGTGAGGATGACAGTTTTGATGGGATTCAGGAAGACTGTGGGAATAAAATAAAAAAGTTTTACATTAAATCCTAAATATCATATAGGTGAGTATGGCCTCATATGAGTAACCCACAGTTTCCCTTCACTGAATATACTGTAAGTCACCTTTATGTTTAAGCCGTGCATAGCAGTCAGAAAAGTTCTAAGCTTTGAAGAGTGGAGTCCAGGGATGAAGAAAGAGCCTGGGCTGAGCTGGCAGCCCATCATAGGGAGGGGACAGATTCTTTCCACTTGAAGATGATGATGGAGCCGGCCGTCACTGGAGCTCTGCTGCTCTTTGCTGCTGCTGTGGCAACGGTACAGCAACAAGTCTCATTGCTCAGGGCGCCCTATTAGTTTGGCAACCAAACTTCATGAACCCAGACTCTACTCTTAAGAATAACATGCTTTTTTTTTACTATCACAATTAGATGAACATTTTATAAAAATCTGTGACTGTTTTTCCACATTTCCA